TGAACACTTCATCTGTGAAAATTTCTGCCTAGCACCCTCCTCCTTATTTCCTGAATCTGTTACTGAAAAACCATTTAATACCGTTGATATTGCATCTTGAGATTCAATTAAGACCTCAAATTATCAAAAATGTCTGAGCTCGATCGCGAGGGGCCGGCTCCGTCCACTTGATCCACCAGAAATCTGCGGCCCCCAGTCATTTTAGTTCACTCTCTACAAATTCCCACCCACCCAATAATAATCCTGCATACGGGCCTGAGAAAGCACCCAGCCATACACTCTTTATTCTATTTCATTCTAAAGAGCAGTAATTGTAGCTTTTATAGGATCGAGTTAAGTACCACTGATATTATCGGCGCGCCGTATTAGTAATAGTATACACCATGCATCTTTTGCTCCCCATACGTATAAGCATGGTCTGTAAGTCATGATCGATCGGTCGATAGAGACCGTCAAATCCATCACACTTAATATATTATAGGGCCTAGCTAGGCCGAGGCCTAGGCTATTTTTGCAGCAATTTCTCCTTTTGCGCCAAGAAAATCAGCATCTATAACTAGTAAATATATTATTCTGGTATTGCATGCATGATTGGTAATAATTATAGTTTTAACAATGTATTACTTCAGGCTTGAGCAGCTGAGAGAGACAGGCCTACTACCCTCTAGGAGGCTTGGGTCCAACTTGAACTTGGAGAGAAACCCTCACAGACACGGGTTTTTTTCTCAGACATCCTTGCTTCATGTACTCTACTAAGGCTAGGCTTAGGCTTATTATCAGCTAGAATAGACCTCCCTGACTAGACCAATTGGGCAAGATATATAGCCATACAGTTCGCCTACTTATACTATAGGCCTAGATATTTGATGTAAAATATTGCTTGTAACTATTTCCCTCTTGAAATTACTGTATGTAGTCAATTGTCACACGGTCGGAACAACTGCACACACTGACCCCTATCTAGGCTAGATGGCGAAATATGGCATGGTCACAGTCACATGGTGGGGGTCTGTTGGGTGGATGCTTAATTTTGATGTGTTGGGTCGACGCATAACAGAATTTTGTGCTCATTTGGGAAAAATACACTTGAGATGTTTTTTCTTTCTGTTTCTTTTTTTTTTAGTTACATTTGTCATATCTGGTTGTGATGTGGAGCACATTAATCAACAAATTTGGTGTTGCTTTCAAGTATTCCATCTTCGGCTACTGTTCACTCCATTGCATATCAGAATACTTACTTGATATTACTCGGTGCACTGGACCATCTATGCAGCCA